TTCTACACCATGGTTTTGTTCCACACATCATCCACAGAGACATCAAGTCAAGCAACATACTCCTAGACAAGAACTTTGAACCACGAGTCTCTGACTTTGGGCTGGCTCGAATAATTAGTGCTTGTGAGAGCCATGTTAGCACAATCCTTGCTGGTACATTCGGGTACATACCTCCCGAGTATGGACAAACCATGACGGCCACAACCAAGGGTGACATCTACAGCTTTGGAGTGGTGATGTTGGAACTGGTAACAGGAAGGGCACCAACAGGACAGGCCGATGTTGAAGGAGGCAATCTTGTTGGCTGGGTGAGATGGATGGTTTCAAATGGCAGGGAGATTGAAACGTTGGATCCATTTATTTCTGGTTCAGGATTATTGAAGGATCAAATGCTGCGCGTTCTTGCCATTGCAAGGTTATGCACCAGCGATGAGCCATGGAAGCGACCATCAATGCTCGAAGTGGTGAAACTGTTGAAGGAGGCCAAGAACAATGGTGCTTGTGGAGTGTGATTGAACATCAAATACATAAACATGACTAGTTTATTACAAGTCACAACAAAAGGTAATGAAAGGAAGGTGTAATAGGATTATAGTACTTCTCTTATGTTATGCAGCTATCTGTATTATGAGTTTATACAGGTCAGACAGATGTAAGTTATGTTGGAAACAAACTATGTTGTTCCCTTTAATTTGAGATATAGAAGTTTATGCATGTGACTTGTAAATCATAAGCTTTCACTTGGAAGGACTACAGTTTTAATTTCCTCATACAGATGACAAAGCAAGGAAATCATACTCCCTTGATTGCTAATCCCGAAATTAAAAACTCAACAATATAATCCTACATTGCATATTATGTTTATTTCTTATCCCATAAACCAAATGATGGGTCTAACAATTAATTAATCAATTTTTAGGTTATATTTTTCATATTTTTTATTAATCAATTACTCATTTTCGGGATTTATCGAATTTTTTTTAAAAAGAAAATTGTTGAAATTGTTGAATTGAAGGTTACTTTATTTATTTGTGAATTTTTGGCATTAATTTTATATTTTTTTT